TAAATATGCTGTAGTAATTAAGGGATAGGGACTGTAAAAACACACACAAACACTGAGTAAAAAGTAGTTTTCAACATTTGAATAATTGAGTTTTGCCCCCGCTGTTGCATCTCTGCTAGTTCTTGTATATGGGGTGTTTTTTTTTTTTTTTCTCCTCTACCAGATATTTTACAGAGAAGCAGATTGTGGCATTATCTGATGAGCTACTGCAATCAGCAGCCTACAGGAAACAATTTTTTTTTCCATGTTAAAATGATAAATATTGTCCAATGCTTCAAGTTAGCTTTAAGAAAAAATGATTTAAAACAGAATAAATTGATACTGTTAGCACAGGAGATTTATTTTTTCAGAAGAAATATCTTATGTATTGGTGTCTTCTTTTTAAAAAACCATTAATGTCTGGTACTTGTGGCTTACCAGTTGAAGATGACTTAGTAAAGAAAACAGTGAATAAGCTTCAAAGCTGATAACCATGTGCTTGATGTGTAAACTTCAGAATTCATAGGAGGTTATGAAACTGTCAGTGTTATGGAGCAGCTAATTGTGGGTACTTGTCAGTTAAAAGACTGTGTGGTTTGAAATGCAGTGTTTCTTCTTAAGTGTTTGACAGGAGCGGTCAGGTGGACTTTTTTTTTTTTTTTTTTTTTTTTTAGCAGACCTGTAGACTGAAAGTGTGAAACAACCATGATTAGTTAGAACAGGTCAACTGGCCCTCCTTAACAACTCTAGTTTTATTGGAGAACTGAAGGTTTATTGTTTTAAGAAAATACTTTAAAGAATGGCGTCAAGGACTGCACACCATGTATTTTGAAGGAAGCCTTTGAATTTAGTCTTGATTTCACATACCAAGTAGTTTATGTAAGCAACTGTTTGCTGAAAATAGCAAATTAGTGTTGTGCGTGTGGCTTTTTTCTGCCTGTTTCCAAGCTAGAAAGGTAGGAAGTAAGTACAGCTGGAGAAGCAATAGTCTGAAAACTTGAAGTGTTGATTACATCTGTTTCCTTTCATCGCTAATACTGAGGAAAGTCAGTGGTCTGATGGCAACAAAGCCAATTCTGGAATTTATTTTAAAAATAGACAAACTGAATTGCTGCAAAAATTAAGCTGCCTTTTTTTTTTTTTTTTTTTTTCCTGGTGTACTGCTGAGCCTGGTATCACTCTGGTAAAAGTGGCACTCTAGATTGGTTCAGTTGGCTCTGTTGACTCTAGATTGGTTCTGTTGGCTCTAGTTTTGTGTGAGGTTGTACCTTGCTGACACCCTAACTACAGCGTGATTGCGCAGTAGGCTGAAATTGCTTTTCTGCAGGTAAAGCTTGAATTCAGCAGATACCTGCCATTTTGCAGCCTTTCACGCTCTGTAAGCAAGTTGTCTTTTTTTTCATAATAATAACAAGACATAATAATAAAAAGACATGCATGTTGCTGCGATGGGTTTTCTACACAATCCATTTCTGCCTCAGTACCTGAAATGTGAAAAGAGGTAATTGCCCTCAAAGCAAACAGCTTTGAAGCTGTCATCATGGAATCAGGGGAATAAAGACAAAGGAACACTTGCCCTGTCCAGTCTGTCTGTAAAGCTTTGAGGGGCGAGGAATCAAAGATTTTTGTAATGAGAAACTGATTTTTTTGAAGTGACTTGATGTGCTGTTTTCATTCTCACCATCAAATGTTCAGACTGCTAATAGAAATGTTTCAGACTTGCCGTTCACCATTTAAAGGGGAAACTCTGTGAGGAGACTATTAACTTACTTGACTGATGGTGTGTGATAATCACAGAAATAATACTTCAGTAGAAACTCTACCTGTGTTTAATGGAGTACTGAAGTCAGTGTTCAAAGAGCTTGATTCCTTACAAGCTGGAGCTGGAAATTCAGAGAAAATGGACCTTAGTGGGGCTGCTTTTTTACTTTTCTGTTCTGGATATCTTGTTTGAGGTTAAATATTTAAATAATAAGTTAATGCAGGAAGAGATAATATTGTGTTTACAGACTCCTTTGTGCATTAGGTTTTACATTTTTAAATTATTTTTGCATTAAGCTAATTTATCACACAATAACTAGAATAAATACTTATCTGTAATTCTATAGTGTCTTGCAGTTCCTAGTATTGGTTAAAACAATGAGATACAGATTGGAAAACAGATTGTTGTCAGATACTCAGGGATGGTTTAAACACAGCAATTAGGGTAATAAATTTTGTCAAATATGGTGTTCCTCCCCAAAATATCGTATAGATGAACTTAGTGTGTAACTGGAGGAACAACACTAATCTTCCAAATGACTTAAGTGTTTTTATTTTATTGATCTTTGTTGGAGTGTTAGGGGTTTGTAATTGCAAAAACTGTTTCTTTCTAGTAACTGTTTTCAAGATGTCAGAGAGGAGGGAAGTGCAGCAGCATCCCACTGTGCTGACACTAATGTCCTGATTCTGCAGATATTCTCAATCATGTCATCAGTCAGTGGGGCCAAAAATGAATAAATTTGAGTTGGTTATACAGTCAACAGAAGCTGTTTGTAGTTACATAAAGGCTTTGCTGCTTCAAAACATACACACTTAAGTTTGCCTTTAAATACACTTCTGTGCAACTTCAGTTGAGGCTTCTAAGCATGTGCCTGAAGACTGAACATACCTCCTTCAGATTTCAAACCAAAACCTTTCTGAAAATACAAAGTGCTGGTCGAGTCTGCCAGTTTCTGCCTGTGGAAGCTGAACGGACTGGGAAGTGATCTTGCTGCCAACCTTGTGTTGAGATACTTGCTTATCAGTACTGTGGAGGCTGCTTCTGTAGCCTTTGTGCTAAAGTTGTGCCAGTTTGGTTCTAGTCTGAAACACACTTTAATGGTTTGTGGCTAATTTACGGAGTAAATGTCTGCCCAGTGAAAGTATTTTTGTGGCTCAGTCTCCTAGACCTCACTGTAAATTCCATATAGCTTAAATTGTATAACTTGTCAGGTTCCGGATGCACAAAAATACTAGATACTGTTTAACACAGTTTCCTTGCTTGTGATTTGTTTGAAATGTTTGTGGATAATTTCATAAATTAAGCAGTTCATTAACTATAGTCTAAGTGCTATTCTTTAAAAGGTGGAAGCCAAGGAAACAAGTATATAGTAGCAGTCTGAACAATGTAAATCAATTTCTTCATCACATTTTATCTTTTTGGGAAGATGCGATTTCAGATAGAACAGGGAAAAAATGTATCTTTTCCATCTACTGAAGTGAAAAAATAGTAAAATACTCAGTACCTCCATTGTCACAAACACATTATTTATTAGAAGGTTGTTATTATATAAGGGAATAGATCAAATAACTTATTCCTTTTCTAATAGTAGTAATTAAGAGATAAATGGAGACACCAGAGCATTTTTAAAGACTTTTCCTGTGAACCTGGAAAACACATGCAAATAGTCCAGTGACTACTAAGGATGTTTTTCACATATATATGAAATGGTATGTGCTCATACCATGAGCCATAGCAATTATCCCTTAGCTTTGTGAAAGGTAACTGAAAAATCTACCTCTCTTTAAAAGTTTTTATCAGTCCTGTCGTGAGATTTAGAAATCTTTACTATTTGTACAATTGTTTTTAATTACATAGTACAAGAATGAATAAACTTGTTATGAACAGATTTTTACTGGAAGCAGTCACTTTTTTATTTTGAAAGCATTTCTTACAAACATCTTGCTGTTGACTGGGTGGAACAAGCAGTCGACGATGGAAAGCTGGAGATGAAAGAATTCCTGAAATTCCCAGTTTCTAATGTAAGCCTTGATTCTAAAGCAGCACATGTCATATGATTCATATTGCTAGCTTGTATTAGGTATTAATTCTACAGCTATGCTCTGCAGGTGATGTATATACCAGCAACCCTAATCGCAACTAGCATAGCCACATTCCTTCCTTCCTTTGGAGGAGGTAAACGAGACTACTTATGACCTGTTTCCATTTTAAATAGGCACTATTTTAACAGAAGCCTCCTTTGAATTAATTTGAGCTCTTTTGGCGTGAGGTACATACTGAAAGAGTAGGTCTCATACAAAAAAAAAAAGCCTCTTTTTTTGGACTCTTCAAAAAGATGCTTTATAAGACCAGGATTAAAACCCTTTGTTTTTTCTATTTTTACAGCATTACTGTAAAATTATTGGTGTAATGAGGTAAACCTTGGGCAGGCAAAAATACTAATAATCTGAACTAACAGCAAAACATATGATTCTAAAGGTTGACAGTAAGAACTGTCATTGTTGCCAGTAATTGACCATCTCCATGATGACAGCTGGAGTCTGAGGTGTTTTGACTAATTCTAGGGGAGGTGTTTAACTGTTGGTGTAGACTCGTGCTGTCTTAAAAAAACAAGCCAGCCTCATGACTTACAAATACTGTAATTTTGTATTTCATCTGTAGATTATTGTATCTTTGAGAGCTGATTTAAAATTCCTGATTTGGTTGCATTTTGGGGAAATTGCAGCAGCAGCTTCAGTGTAACAGAAAGTGTCCTGCTGCTTTATTCCTAAAGCTTCTTTTTCACTTTTATATATATTTAGCAGAAGAAACTTTGCTAATAAAATATAAGGCTTAAGTGCCTTAAGTAAAGCCATTCACACTTTATGAAAAATCCTCAGTTTTTTTTTTTTAACCTTTTTTTTTCCCCAGTAAATGTACATGATTCATTGCATTCGTCTCATTTGTTCTCTATTCTGCATAAACCTTGGAGGGTTACACTGTAACTTAGTATCTGCAGTTTCATGGGGCAAGTGTTTTAAGTGACAAAGCAGTAATTCATGTCGTGTACTGCTTCTACTGCCATGCCAACTGCAGTTGAGATGTCTTACTACAAATATCTGCGCCTTATTTTAGTATTGACTCCTATTTCTGTATGTGATACTTGATTCTGGTGGATTTTAATTAACACTCTCCTAGGTATTCATGTGCATACATGTGTTTAAAATTTTCTATCCATTTTTCCACAACTCTTCTTTTTAACAGCTTTCTTACTCTTTCCAGGTCTAGAAAACCAGGAGGGTCCATTCTCATAACAATGTCAGCAAAATCCTCCCTCCTTAAAGTGATCCTGCTGGGAGATGGCGGAGTTGGGAAGAGCTCGCTCATGAACAGATACGTCACTAACAAGTTTGATGCGCAGCTGTTTCATACAATAGGTGTGGAGTTCTTGAACAAAGATTTGGAGGTGGATGGACACTTCGTTACAATGCAGATATGGGACACAGCTGGCCAAGAACGTTTTAGGAGTTTGAGGACTCCTTTCTATAGAGGTTCTGACTGTTGCCTGCTCACTTTCAGTGTGGATGACTCTCAAAGCTTCCAGAACTTGAGCAACTGGAAGAAAGAATTCATTTATTATGCAGATGTCAAGGAGCCTGAAAGCTTTCCATTTGTGATACTGGGCAACAAAGTTGATATTAATGAAAGGCAAGTGTCTGCAGAAGAAGCCCAAGCCTGGTGCAGGAATAATGGCAACCATCCCTATTTTGAAACCAGTGCAAAAGATGCCACTAATGTTGCAGCAGCCTTTGAAGAAGCTGTCAGAAGAGTTCTGGCCTCTGAAGATAGATCAGATCACTTTATTCAAACAGATACAGTAAACCTTCATCGGAAACCCAAACCCAGTTCATCTTGCTGTTGACTTATTATTATTTTTTGCCATATTACTTTTCACTAGCTTGCTCTGTAAGAGGGTTGAAAAGGTGTGGTAGATAAAATAACAAATGGGTTTCACTCTAATATTAAAATTGTAATACTCTGCTGCTTTCTTGGGGGAGCGAAGGGGAAACATAAGAAACTTCCACTCATGAGTGACCCACTATTAAATTAGTGACATCTTTTGTTTAGGAAGGTGTCAAGTAAAAATATACTAATACAAGAATGTAATTTGCCAAGTTAATCAAATGATAAATACTTTGAATATAATTAAAACTTGAAAGTTCTAGAAGCACTACTTTGGAGAAACTGTTCTGGAATTGAGATATAAAGAAACTTTTATATATGTATATATATTTTTATGGAATCAGTGTTCCATTTTTGTTTCACTAAAGGGTTCGTAACAATGCCAGATATTAAATTTCAGTCTCATTACATTCCTTTCAATGTGAGTTGTCCTTAATCTCTCATCATTTTTTTTTAATTATAAGTTAATATAGTTAATATAACTCTCCTTCAGGAATTCTGTAATTGCATCAGTAGACTTTATGTAGGTTTTAAGTCTTAAAAAAAAATCCTACATATGTAATGTTTGTTTTCCCTTCACTTACTATTCTTAAGCTGTACTAATTTTTCCAGAGTTTAATGCAAAGTATTCGTGACTTTGAAAGTTAGCAGGTTTCTCTGCCTTAAGTCCAATTCCAGCATGTTTCTGATCAATCGGGCAAAAGTCTTGATAACTGAAGTTGCAACAATTTTAGTTATGGAAAATATATGCTTTATTTGGAAAGCTTTTAACAGCTCTTTGAGGGATCCACGTTGTGACAAATTTATAAGAGGGCTTCTAGTTTACAGTTAAATTCCAAACTTCTTGGTACTATTCACCTGAGCTGTGAATGTGTTTATTGGTAATTTCTGTACTGTGAAACTAAGGCTTGGCAATACATAGCGAACTCAGGAAGCTTTTGACTTACAGAAGATTGTAACAGCTTGTAGCTCTAGTGTAAGTAAATACCTGTAGTTAACATTTGAGCTGAACTTGATCCTTATTTAATTTGCTATTGTAGGATCTGGAATTAAAAATTAGTGTCTTTTAATATTACTGTACCTGTTACAGGATGATGAACAGAAGTAAATTCCATATTTAATGGACATTCTCTATAAAGTCATGCAGATATTTGATGCTCTCCACTGCAGCTCAGCAGTAGACTACCTATATGACGAGTTGCTTCAAGTTGGCTCTTAAAAGTATGGTAGTATCACAATGTGCTTGTAACAGCTCACTTGCCAATGTGCTCTTGCTTCTATGCGTAGAGGCTAACGGGTGTTCCTGGACCCACACTGCAGACTTCAAACCGAATCGGAGGCCTACAGGACATGCCAGACTATTCACTCACCTACGCAACCTCTGTATTCTCTAGAGCAACTTTCTTTTCCAGAAATGGGAAAAGCTTTCTTAAACATATGGTAACTGCAAGACTTTCAATGTATCTGTTCAAGCTCTGTACCAGGTGTAATGTGAAAGTAAAGCTTGCACAACAAACTCTTTCTTCTTGTAGCTCTTAATACATTTTGCTGCTGTGGTTGTGTTGTACTCTTACCTGTACCTCTCCTGGACTGTTTTGTTCCATAGATTGGCTTCTGCTTAGAAGTGACATTTTTCTTACACATAGAACTTCCTAAGTTTGTGTCATTCTGGCAGAGTTGCATATATTGCAGCAGAGCTATTTTTTTAAGCTTTAGCTACCTAATTGCCAAACGTAGGCTGGGCTGCTACTTATGTCATATTTATCTTAGATTTGTAGTCAATGAAACATCTGTGAGGAAAGAACCTTAGCTGTAAAACTTTATAACTTTACAGTGAGAGAACAAAAAGCTTTAAAAATGGATTGCTTGTTTTGGGGGCTACTAAAATGAAATTGTTCCCGTGAAATAAACCTATACTATACTGTTTTTTACCTTTAGATTAACAGAGGTAAGGTTTAAACAAAAACAGTAGTAGTAGGTAAAGACAGCATGATTTCAGTACTGCAGATGTAACTCAAGTCAGGGAGACTGATAAAAGGAAACGGATTAAGGCTGAGAACTTGCAAAGATCAAGGGGGCTTTTTTTGTGCTTAACAGACCTTGACTGTGTCTTCTGCTTTATTTCCTTTCTAGATAATGTCACAGTTTCCAACCTTGTCAATGAAGAAGTAGATTTAATGCACTTGCATTGTATTAAGCTTTATTTATTACATGTACTGTAGGAACCACTGCAATGCAGTTGTAATCACAAAACAAGGGGGTTGCATGCTATAATAAATATAGCAGTTGTGTTGAGGTCAGGAGTTGATCTGAGAGGAGAGTGAGTATTTGGAAAAAGTGGTGAGAGAGGAGTTCTATGACAAGCAGACATGGATAACACCAAAAAAACCCCTTCATACTAATGCTTAATACTAATATGCCCTCCTGTACTTTGTGAGGGCTTGGCATCTGTGATTCATTAGAGAGGTAAGACAGGCACTTGTGGCTTATGTTTCAATTCGGCTAGTAACAAAGCTCAAGTATGGAGGAGTCTTGTCGGCAGCAGTTAGCTTTGTGTAACGTGCCCTGAAGCATCAGCCAGGATACGTATGCAAAATGCCAGGTGTCCCTGAAGAGGCGCAGACAGAAGCAGCCTCAGTAAAACATGCTCAAAAAAGGAACCTGAAAGTAGAAATCACTGTCATGCAAATAGATTGGTGAAAGCACTGCATGCTAGAAGAGAGCCAAACTAGGGATGGGCGAAGATTCTGGAGTATTGTGTCCAGTTCTGGGCCCCACAGTACAAGAGGGATGTGGAGCTGCTGGAGAGAGTCCAGCGCAGGGCCACAAGGATGATCAGGGGCCTGGAACATCTGCCCTATGAGGAGAGGCTGAGGGAGCTGGGCCTGTTCAGCCTGGAGAAGAGAAGGCTGAGAGGGGATCTAATCAGTGTATACAAGTATCTCAAGGGAGGCAGTGAGGAGGATGGTGCTGGCCTCTTTTCAGTGGTGGCCACCGACAGAACTAGAAGTAATGGCCACAGTTTGTGGCCACAGTTGAAACACCAAAAGTTCCACAGGAACTTAAGGAAAAATTCCTTGACAGTGAGGGTGACAGAGCCCTGGAACAGGCTGCCCGGAGAGGTTGTGGAGTCTCCTTCTCTGGAGATCTTCAAAACCCGCTTGGACGCAGTCCTGTGCCACGTGCTCTAGGTGACCCTGCGTATGCAGGGGGGTTGGACTAGATGACCTCTAGAGGTCCCTTCCAACCTTAAGCATTCTATGATTCTATGAAGAGCCTGCCTTTCTGCATCTATTTCATGCAAGGTAGACACCACCTAGGACTTAACAGCTTGTGTAACACGTAATGTTGCATGGAGATGCCAAGAGCTGTGAGAACCAGAGAAGCAGTTTGGTCCTCACTTGAGCAGCTGCATAGTTCCACAGACTGATCTAGCTCTGAGTGGACTCAGTTAACTGTTAAATGTTTCTTAATAACTGAACCTTGCAGGAACTCTATTTCCAGCTTAGTTTTGTTAAGCTTGGTTCATAGCCTTAGGTTTCCCTGACTTCTTTTGATTGCTTTTTGTGTGTTACAGTGCGATTCTAGACCCTTTAACCCATGCTGGTTTGTTTCCTTTATTTGCTAATACAGGTTATCTCCTACTTTCTTGTACTGTAACTGCTGAGTGCCTTCATCTGAAGCCACAGGTGCAGGCCTCTGAGCTGGGGTGCATTACCCACCTCCTTTGCAAGTATTCTCTGTCCTGCCCAGTCCATGACCTTTGTCATGTTGGAAAAAGGCTGGTGATAAATGGGGCTGAGTCTGTTTGGAAGCCTGTGGCCTGTTGTGTCCCACAAGGGTCAGTACTGGGCCCGGTGCTGTTCAGCTTGTTCATTAGTGACTTGGACGAGGACACAGAGCGCACCCTCAGCAAGTTTGCAGATGACACCAAACTGGGAGGAGGGATTTGGGAGTCCTGGTTGACAACAAGTTAACCATGAGGCAGCAATGTGCCCTCATGGCCAAGGCGGCCAATGGGATCCTGGCCTGCATGAGGAGGAGCATTGCTAGCAGGTTGAGGGAGGGGATCCTGCCCCTCTGCTCAGCTCTGGTGAGGCCGCACCTGGAGTATTGGGTGCAGTTCTGGGCTCCCCAGTACAGGAGGGATGTGGAGCTTCTAGAGAGGGTCCAGTGTAGAGCGACAAAGATCATTAAGGGACTGGAGCATTTGTCATATGAGGAAAGACTAAGTGAGCTGGGCCTGTTTAGTCTGGAGAAGGCTGAGAGGAGATTTGATCAACATGTTCAAGTAGCTGAGGGGAGAATGTAGGGAGGATGGGGCCAAACTCTTCTCGGTGGTGGCTGCTGACAGGACGAGGGGGTAACGGATGCAAGTTGAAATGCAGGAGGTTTTATCTCCGTATGAGGAAGAATTTTCCTGTGAGTGTGACAGAGCCCTGGAACAGGCTGCCCAGAGAGGTTGTGGAGTCTCCTCTGGGGATCTTAAAAACCCCTCTGGACGCCAGCCTGTGCCATGTGCTCTAGGTGTCCCTGCTGGAGCAGGGGAGTTGGACTAGATGATCTGTAGAGGTCCCCTCCAACCTCAACTATTCTGCAATTCTGTGAAAAACGGTTCCCGATTCCTTCTGGAACTAGTTATTTCACTGCTACAGCAGACTTGTGGCTAGGGTTACAACTCAGCCCTCCCCCTGCTACTTCCAGATAGCAATCTTTCAGCTTAGCGCAGAAAGTAACAACACACCACGTGACGGCTCTGTGTGCTGGGAAATCACAGAGACCCAACCTGGATTCTTGGAAATTCCTAGGAGGGAGTTCCCCACCACAAATACTATAGTGACTAACAGAGGGGTTGTCATTTCCCCCCTCCATGAACTCTTAACAACCTGTTTTTTATGGAAGTTTAGAGGACTTACCTTGTCCTTCACAGCTCCTAGTTTCAGAGTAAGAAGAATTAAGGGTTGGAAAGTCAGAGAAAAGACACCCTTACCCTAATTGCTTTAAGATATAAGGGATAAAATGCTTTTCTTTTATAAAATTTCCTACTATAGTAGCAGCAAAGAATAAGATTATCCCACTTCTTGAGTGACAAACTCAGCACTAATCCTTTAGTTTTACCTTCTTGTTATCGCAAGAAGGACTATAACATTATTTCCCCAGGGCACCTACACTGTTAGTAGTCTATCAATCGGGTGACTTAAAAGGAAGTTGTTCTCTTATATTTGCTTCACTCTTAGATCTCTGCAAGTAGGGTAATTCTTATTTTCAACAGCTAGTACTTTCTAATTAAGAAACTTAATTGACATATACAATGTTTTAAGTGGTACAGTTAATATCACAAGGGGGAAGGAGGAGGTAGAAAACGGCCCGAGAAGTATTCCCATCTTCACTTCCTATCCCTCTAATAAAGGCAGCAGATTTAGTTTTCTCCTAAATCATTTCAAATACACTCAACAGGCATCCATACCTCATCATATCACATTTTATTTAAGATGAACATCTGAATTTTAATATATTAACTTGATACTTTTATCATGGTATATTTTACAGTGACAGCAGTAAGCATACTTTACAAAGAAATAATAACTATACATTTGAATCACCTATTCACACAGTTGCTTAAATCATACAGACTATGGGAAATGTAGTGCCTAGAACAGCTTGCCACTTCCTTTGGAAATTTCTTTCCAAACATTCAAACAAAAGATGCAAGAAAATAGTTTATACAATTTTGCTAGAAAAAAAAAACCCTGACTATTTAAAAAAATCGTAAAATGAATGAAAATATTAGGTGCATATTTGCAAAATTATTGTTTTGGAATGATGACAAGTTTTGCAAAAAGAATCCCTAACCACAGTTCATAATGGAGTAGTGGCCAGGTAGGCCAAATAATGCTTTTTTGAAACCTTAACAAATGAGTTTCAGGGAAAAGGTGGTTTTAAAACATGTACATTAGTATTTGTTTCTACCTGTGAAGTAGACTGAAAGTAAGGGGAAACAGAACTGTTTTGGTCTACTTTATTCACTGATACAACACTGCATCTTAATGAGGATCGCACTGAACATCTGGTAATTTGCAATTTCACAAGCTTTAGAACTTGCTGACTGAAGATAACATTGCAGAGCTTTTGCTCATACCCCTTCTCATTCCTTTATATTTAGCACTTTATATACATATATTACAATATTGTTATATACCTGATTTAATATCATGAAGAGTAAAATTAGTCTGATGGTCTTCAGAGTAAGTTTTCTAGCTAAGGACTGCAAGTAGGAAGCTTTATAACAAAATTAAGCATTTATGCCAAACAATCAAAAATTCCCCTTTTGCTCATAATAAACCACAAGAGTGAGACATCTTTTGTGTTTACAACTGACTTCCTCCCACCCCCTAACAGAGGCTTAAAGTTTGCATATGCATCGACATCCCTCATGTCTCAAAGCATAGCTATGCAGCCTGACATTTTTAAACGTAATTTTCCTAAGATATAAAAAGGAAACTTCCTAAGCTGCATCTTTAACTAGAGAAGCTGCGTTGTTTTTATTAGTATCAGCAGAAAAAAAGCTTCTTCAAAATTCAATTGTCAATCTTCAGAAAGACGAGTGTCAGATGTGCTGAGAACTAACCCAAAGTACTACAGTTCAAATAATCAGAAAGGTACAAAAAAAGCACTCACTTAGGAAAGTTATTTATTCAGCTTAAAAGGTGTTTCTTCCCAAGGAACTGCACTTTCCTTTCAAAGGCACTTGATCGAATAGGAGAATTAGGTTCATAAAATGGATTCATTGCAAACTGAGGAAAGAAGAAAAACTCATAAGTATACACAATATCCAGAGCGGGGAGAAAAAAACAAAAAAAAACATTTTCAATGACAACTAGTACTAGTTTTCTGACTAGTTAGTGCCATTTAAAGCACAGAACACACAAATCCTGATTTTCAAGCAAGTCACTCGCCTTTGTATTCTCCCAATGTATGTGAAAAAAACAGTAAAAGATCCTAGTAAGATCTTAGTAAAAGATCCTAGGAAATAATCAATCATGACACTGGTGGAAACTTCACTGTTGAAAAGTGGCATCACTTGAGTCTTGGTAAGAGGCTGAGATGACCATCTTGAAATCAATGTTTGCAGGTGCTTCATCTAGTAGAAACATATCCTTGTTTGAAAACATGGGTTACTCCTACTTGAGACAGTCCTTTACTTTCATTATCACCATAAGTGATAAAATACTGCCCCAAATCAGTAGAGTAAATGAAAAAAAAAATCTGAAGTGGCGTAATTTATAAAGAATTTAGAAAAATTTACTCTGTTAAATAGTAGTATAGTATTTGTCATGCATTATCAACTGTAGCTTCTGCAATAGGATGGATGCTTTTTGCACTAGCCTAAAAATACATGGTAGTATATACATGTTTAAGCACATACAACAGAACACACACTTAAAAACATTACCAAGAGTTCATAAGAAATTGGTTCTTACCTTTATATATAAGTCATAGACATCATTAAAGAAGTTCTTTATTCCATCTTCTTGTCTTACATCATGAAGCATTATAAATCTCATATGTAAAGCCATTAAGGACAACTTAACATTTATCAGCACTCCTCCAAGTAATTTTACAAATGAAAAAGACAAAATTTAACACATCTTTGAGATAAATATTTACACCTAATTCTGCACATATGTAAAATGTTTAGCTGTACATGAAACAGCACTGACTCTATGGGAGAAATCATTTAAAGAAATACCTGAAGCACTGAAATTTAGAAAGTATTATGTTTGCACTTATATTTTAAAAATCCTCCATTTGAAAACAAAAGGAATCGCCTCTGCACTCAAGCTTATTATTTTTAAAGAGAGACTATACTGAATTGGAATGATCTTCTTGGCAAATTTGCCCTACATCCCTGAAATTATAATGACATTCAAGATTACTTGCTATAAATAATAATAAAAAATGTTTCACAATAAACACCTTCAGGATTACATTTTCAAGATTACAAGATCAAACTTTGATACTAGTTTGATACTAGTATTTTCAAAATACGGATGATTTACACCAAGCATGTTTATCGATGCTTTTTCTCTCCAGAACTATTCAAATGGATATAAGTAAAAGAAAAGTTCACACAGACCCTTCTCATACCATTCCCCTCTCATTCCTCTTTCCTCTACTTCATGTCATCCTCACATTTCATTAAGCTATTTCAATTCCTCCAAAAAGGAAAGATCTTTGCCATCAGGTCCAATCTGCAGTAACAGCTGTGCCTACCAACTTACTTCCTCCTGAAGTTGGTGATTCTAAGAAAAATAGCTGAAACTAGCAGAGAAACCTGTTCTAAAGCCATTGCATCTAATTTTCCACTTTCTGTCAAAAAGCTACGTAATTACAGGAAGAGAGAAGAGGGAAGGAAGGATATGTCCAGCTGTGACAAAAGCAGAAACAAACCACTCATTAAACTTGTCCACAGTCTTCAGATACATGTTGTTAGAAAGCCACATGTTCTCATCTACTAGGTCAAGAGCCGCATGGGCAATGAACTGGTTGAGATGGCGGTGATCATCCTAATACATTTTTGGAAAACAAAGGATTACTAATTCAGGAAGTTAAATCCAAACGAAAAATTGCTTAAGCTGCTAAACAACCAGTGTTCAAGTGGCAGAAAACAGTGCTATAAAACTTCACGTAACATATAAGCCATCTTTTGATTAACTTAAATTGCATAACTTGTAGTTACAATTTTTGATTTCAAGATAAAAAAGGTGAAGCAACACCAAAATAGTGTTGGGCACAGTAGAACCAATAAAGCCTGCTTTCTGTGCATTTATATGTCAAGGAGTTTACATATGGATTCCCTGACATTTACCAACGGGTAAACTCATTCACTACACACAGAGGTGCAAAATACCAGTAAAAGTTGTGTCGAGAAAGTCATTTACTCAATCATACTAGAACATTAACAGGCATCCACTCAGAAGAAACATGGGATTAAGCCATCCTGTCAGTGTCTATTAGAGTGGAAACAGCAGCTACCTTGCATGGTTTCTTGTAAGCCAGGGTTACTGTTAGTGCTGCTCTCGTGCTTTCAGTACATGATGTTCTTCTCCCAAAAACAGTTTGACTCAGACCGCTAACAGCTTTGCCAATTCTATAAAAACACCCTGAGCAACAGGCTAAGCAGCAAAGCTCAAGGAGCAAAAGCTTGTGCTGATTTACGTGTACATGCAAGGTGTTTACTTCAGGAGTGCAGGGAATTTGTTCTTAAATGGTATCTCTCTCAAACAAAACTGATAGTTGCCAATGGTTGCCATTTTTTTCAGTGCATATCAAGTTTAGATTCTCTCAGGAGTAAACTTAGGGTCACACACAAATGCATGCACTTTTATTCTGAACTGTAATGATTGTCTGATGCAATATCACAATATATAGATTTGTTCTTTTCCCACTATATACTGAGTAGTCTTACATTTCTCATACTCTCAAATCCATATTAGCCGATATACATTTTAAATCTTCCTTACTGAAAAAAAGGATGACTACTAAACAAGGGCTAAAGGTTTTTATTTTTTTTTTGGTACTATAAATATTCAAAGGAATAAAATACTCCTTTCATATTTATACCCCTTACTTTTCCTTATTACTGTGTATGGATGCCCTAAAAGAGAGAATGACATTAAATGGCATTAGACAATGAACAAGCATAATAAAAGCACTACACACTGACAGTAATCACTGAAGCATGATTAGCATATATTCTTCACAATAGTGGAATATTTAAGGAAACCATTTTTTTCCTGGAGAACCAGCACAATCTGTCAAGGAATTTTAAAAGACTCACTACTGCAGAGTTCTGCTCCCTATCACTAAGTTTCTGTAAAAGAAACAACAAAACAGTGGATCCTAGTAAGACTTTTGACAACATTTAGTTGTTTTCAAAACGCTGCAAAATTATCAGAGAGAATGCACCACAATTACATCACTGAGTATTATGGGAAAAAATAAAACAAAATGACCAAAAATTAAGAGGGACACACACCTTGGATTCTACTTTTCCAGGAGGTAGAAATTCCATTTCGAATATGGGATTATCATGATGACCCACAATGACGAAGTAGAAGCTTCCAGACATTCTTCAGAATACCGTTCCTTATAGAAGAGATGTATGTGCTTTACTAACAACGCCACTTACAAACTCTTAATGCATCTCAAAGTGCTCCTAACAATCAGCCAACGTTATGCCCATGCATAAACATTTGCTTAGGTAGGCATAGTACTAAAAAAAGGGGGGGGGGCGGAAAAAAAAAAAGAAAAAAAGAAATAGCTGGAAAGCCTATCATCATCTGGAAGTGCTTCTAATTGCTACTACCCAAAGACTTATTCTAGGGGCGATAATGAGTCAGTTTGTTTACTGACTGCACTCCCAGTAGTGCAGATGTCACTGACCGTCGTGAAAAGTAAACACCGTCGTGAACCAGTCTCTGAAAAACATCTTCATCTTTTTCGTCCCGCGGGCCCTACACACGATGCGGAAACGTGGGACGGGTGGAGATGGGGACCCCAGCGATCTCCGCGCATTCACCACCGTCCCCCGCACAGCGTGGGCCTCACCCCACCGCAACCCGCCCCGGGCGAGAGGCCTGAAGGGCTCACTGGAAGGGAGGGAGAAAGAAGTCACGGCCCAGCGCCATCCCGAGCGGACGCGGGGGGAGGGGATGGGGAGAGGCCGCCCCGGAGGCCTCCTGACTCCTACCGCGAGCGCGAGCTCTCCAACGGCTCCCAACGGCCACCTGGAAACGCCC